AATCTGCAGTGTTAGAAATCTGCTTAGAAGTTACCCTTGGAGGCCAGTGACTAAAAAGTTTGGCAGGATAGCTGAAGGTGTTCAGGGTCTCAAGTTGGGTGTTTGTGTCTCAACAGAACATTGCGTGTTCACTTTGTGAAAATTTGTTGAGCTACACACTTATGATGTGTGCTTTTATTTGTATGTTGGACTTTAATGTACAGTTTAAAAAGAAAGCAGAACAGGAAAAAGAAGGAGAGAGAGGAAAAACCATAACAAAAAGAAGAATGAGGAGAGGGGAGAGAGAGAAGGACTGGGAAGGTGAAAAGCATCCTAACCCTCAGTCATCCAAATGTGCTGCCTGGATAAAGCACTGATTTGACTTCTAATTGAACTGTATTTTAGGGAACTGACATCATGCCCTTGGCTTGCAGTTCAGGATGAATGCTAAAAAAGAATCACTCTTTCAATTACTTTGTGAACATTACTGAAGTCATACTTTGCCATATCCCATGCCCCTTTTATGAAAATCATAGGACAAATTTTTCCCAATACCCAGAAAAGTTTCTTTTACTCAAGCAACAAGTATTTTTTTTTCCAATCTAGGCACAATCTGTCTATGGCATATCTTGTTTTCTTCTTAGCATTGACTGCTAGGAAGCTTAGTGTTAGAGTCCTCAGCACAACTTGGCAGATTCTATGTCTGTGTCTATCTGGGCCAGGGGTTGGGGTTGTTTGATGAACAAGCTACATCCTGTGTTGGGGGTCTCACAGTCTAGCTGGGACACACGCATGCAGGAGGTCATTAAAAAATAGGCAATCAACACAGTGGCTCAAGCCTGTGTAATCCCAGCACTTTGGGAGGCAGAGGCAAGAGGATTGTCTGAGCTCAGCAGCTCGAGACCAACCTGAGCAACATAGAGAGACCTCATATCTACAACAAATCAAAAAATTAGCTGAGAATGGTGGCGCATGCTTGTGGTTCCAGCTACATGGAAGGATCACTTGAGCCCAGCAGGTCGAGGCTGCGGTGACTGTAAGCAGCGTGCCACTGCACTCCAGCCTGGGTGACAGAGTGAGACTCCGACTCAAAAAAAAAGCAATCAATGCTGTGAGGAGAAACACAGGGTGAGTGGTAGCACATAGGGTAACCCTAACCCACCCTTAGGATATCAAAGAAGACTTCTTGGAAGAAGAACCACCTAAACTTAGTGAAAAGGGATGAAGAGGCATTAACCAGGTGAAGAGGGTGGAGAGGGGCGTCCCAGGCAGAGGGAACAACATGTGCAATGCTATGAGGCGAGAGGGAGTCTGAGGTCAGCAGTTGACTTCCATTTTCTAACTCTTTCCCTGGCTTTATATACTCTTCAACTTTTGTTTCCCTTTGCTCTTATTTTCTTTGTTTTTAAATATTATCTTAATTTTTCAAAGCCCCATACATTTTTTTTGTAACCATATGTGATACAAACAAAGACGCAGAGGGCCTGGGCAGAAAATCCCATAGGTGCCAACACTTGTTTGCTTGGTTTGGGCTGCAGAAGCCTGGGCTCTGTCTCTTCCTTCTCCAAGTGGCCTGTGAGCAGTGTCTCCAGATGCCAAGGATGTTCACCTCATCCCTCCACCGCTCCCCCAGCCTCCGATGCACTGCCTTTCCCTGTGTCTGACCTGACAGCATGTGATTAATTACTGCCTCAGATGTCAGCTCAGTAGGAAGGAATTTCTACAGGGAAGTTCCTGATGTCCCCAACCCCATATATCTCTCCAATTTTTCACTTCTGTTGTTCTACTCATTGCTGCTTCCAGCAAGAGAGGTCAGGTGGCTTGCTCTCTAGAGACACGAATGAGACTGTCAGGCACGTATGTGGCATGTGCATTGCTCCATATAGTCCTTTGCGTAAGAGAGACACACTTGGGGTGCAGCCTCTCAGCCCAGCCTCCTCTAACTCTCTGTGTAGATGTGAACCTTCCTTTTCCATGGCCAACTCCACAATTGACACCTTAATGTGACTGTGGGTTAGGCAGACCGAGAATCCTTTATGGGAAGAATGAGCACAATTTCACAAGGAGGATAAGAAGACACAGAAAAGCGATAGCCCCCTCCCCAACGTCACACCACTTCCCCACATGAGCCAGTGAAGTTGAACTTGGATTGTTAACATGGGAAGAAGAGTATTCTTTTGACTCTACCATAAATCCAACTACAGTTACCATTGTCCATCAACCAAACTGAGCAATATTATCAGTAATAATACCGTCAGGTCCTCGCACGGAAAGAAAGCTTTAGCTGCTCTCTGGACTGGCATTAGCCCATGTTGCCTCAGGACCTCTGCACTTGCCGTTTCTACTCTTCTTCCCAGACCTGCACATAAATGGCTACAACAAATTGTTCAGATCTGGGATCAAACATTTCCCTTCCATGGAAGCCTTCTTTGACCATTTAGGAAAAAAATAGCCCCCTCTTAACCCCCAGCGCTGTCACCTTCTTCTGCTTTATATCTGTAGCACTTCACAATCTGTATCTAGTTGCTTGTGGTCTGTCTCCCTCTATTGGCCCAAAGACCTTGTGGGGACAGGGACTTTACCTTATCCCTATCCAAGCTGAATGCCTGACACCTGGGAGATGCTTTGGTTGGGTGCTGCATAGGTGAATCAATGGGCTCCATCTGGTCTTTGATGGAACCCTGTGGGTACCCAAGGCTTCATGGAAAAAGCACAACCATGACTAGGATGAAGCAAGTAAAGCATTCACCTAGGATGTGAAATTTAAGGGGCTGCCAAAAACTCAGAAATTAAGACAAATAATATTTAATGCAATATTTTAACACTTTTAATTAATGCAAAATAACATAATGAGGACAATATCAAAATTTTAAATAAAGACAGAATGCCACCATGCAGATGCCTCACTTTCCTTACCCCAATCCTGGCCTACTAGTCCTGCATTTATTTAAAATTCTGCTATTTTGCTCCTTGGGGATTCAGTTGCACTCATTTGCATGTTTAAAGATACTACATTGAAATATGACTTATCTAGCTGAGTTTTTTGGTGATCCTTTAAATTCTGTGCCCCAGATGACTGCATCTGTCACCTCTCCCTAGTCCCAGCCTTGAAAGTCTAAGTGGTACAGCAGGTTTTCCTCAAATAGCCCCTCCCTGGTCTGTCCACAGCTCACTGACCAGGTTCCACATTGTAGATATGGCTTGGCCTGGGAGTTCGTAATTTGCAGTGACCCTCCTGGGGGCAGGAACTGTCTGATTCATGTCAGCATCCTCACCCCAACTACAGAGAGAAAACATCAGCAATGCAGACACCCACTCATCCAACTAACCATCTCCAATTATACAACCGTGTTCATACCCCAGGTAACTGCTACTCTGAATTTGGTGTTATTAACCCTGTTAAAATGTTTACACCATAACTATATAGGTAAGTGGCCCAATTGATACATAGTAATGTTCTGCAAATTTAAAAACTTAATATGTATGATATCATATTTTAAATATTCTTCTGTAACTTAATCATTTTCCTTCAGCATAATGTTTGCAAGACTAATCCAGGTTGATACTTATATTTCTAGTCTAAGGACCAGGAAGCTTTTTATTTAAAGATCCAGATAGTAAAAGTTTTAGTCTTTGCAGGCCATATGGGAAGGCTGAGTAGTTTCAGGTTACAACTACTCAGCCCTGCCATCATAGCATGGAAGGAGCCATAGACAATACCTGAATGAGTGAGAATGAATGTGTTCCAATAAAACTTTATTTATAAAAAAGCAGGTGGTGACCCTGATTTGGCCTGCAAGCCACATTTTTCACTTTGAGGAACTTAGTTTTTAATATAACAACATGTGCTCATCTATCCTGCTATTAATAAGCTCCCATTTGAGAGTTTGCATTCCTTCAACATGACAAACCCTGCTATGAACTTCTTGTCTTTTCATACAGAGATGGGTAAGATTCTCCTGCATGGATACTCAGAAGTGGAATTGCTGGCCACAGGGCATAAATGGCTTCAGCTTTCATAGGTAATGCCAGATTGTTCAAGAGTGATGAGATCAATCTATAATCTCACCAGCAGTGAATAAGAATTCCCAGTGCTCCATATCATTGCCAATGCCTGCTATATCCAACTCTTCGAGTTTTCCAATCTAATGTGTGAAATGGTATCTACTGAGGTGTTAATTTGCCTTTCCTGATTGCTAGTTAGGGTGAGCCTCTTGTCGTGAGGTTTTTGGCAATTTGAATTCCTGGACATTCAAATTATTGAAACAAGAGTCTACTCCTTGGGTACCTCCTATTCATATATTTGGCCCATATATATATATATATATATATATATATTTTTTTTTTGGTCTTTTGGAGTGTTTGTCTTCTTCCAATTGATTTGAGGAAGTTCTTTACATATTCTGGATACTCTGTCAGTTATATGTGTTGCAAATTTCAACTCTGAGTATGCAGTATGTCTTCTTTTTATGCTTTGATAAACAGAAATTTAATATTTTATTTTTATTTTAGGGCTGTCTGTAAGTTTTGTTTTGTTTTTTGAGAAAGCAGGATTTATTAAAAGGCCAGAAAAGCTCCCACAGTGGGAGGGGACCCGAAAGCGTTGCCCCTAGTATTTTAATATAATCAGATTTATCATCTTTCCCTATGATTTGAATGAAATAATGTCTTTTGTAGCAACATGGAAAGAACTGGAGACCATCATCCTAAGTGAACTAACGCAGGAACGAAAAAACAAACACCGCATGTTCTCACTTACAAGGGAGCTAAACTAGGAACCTGCAAAGGTATGGAGAAGCTAAAGGTATGACGGACACTGGAGACTCAGAAGGGGTGGAGGGGAGGGGGAGCAATGAAAAATCACCTGTCAGGCACAGCACGCACAGATGGGAGTGGAGGGTACATCTAAAGTCTAGACTTCTTTGCCACTCTACCATGCAACTAGGTAATCCCAAATCACCCCTAAAGCTATTGAAATACAATTTTTAAAAAAGAAAATAATTTTTGAGAGATGGGGGTACCTTGCTCTCTAGCAGGTCTGTGTTCTGCCGGAGTTCAGTCCGCAATTTCTCTGATTTTTCTAGCTTCCGTCTCAGTGTCATAAGCTCCTCCTACAAAAACAAACACCTTCACAGAAGCCAATCCTGACCAGAGATGTAGCTTCCTCTCACAACAAGCAAAGGCTACAAAGTTTCAGCTGCACTGTAGGAATACGCTTAGTGATTTATTGCACAAAATAGTGACTATAATGAAACATGGTGCATTGTATATTACAAAATTGCTTTTAAAAAGTAGATTTTAAATGTTTTCACCCAAAAAATGATAAGTGAAATGACAGATTTGTTAATCAGTCTGACTTACTCATTCCACATTATAGACATATATGAAACATCACATTGTACCCCATAAATATATACAATTATTATTTGTCAATTAACAATAAATTGTTTAAAAGAGTGGCTGGGAATGGAATGGGTGATTCAGCCAGCATCTCTGTGATGATGTGCAGATGCTAAGTTGCTACCAGAGACTTTCACCAATTCCGAAGACCATGTCTCTGCTCACTCAGATCTGGTCCACACCAACCCAGTCTAGGGGCTGAAAGCAATCACCAAAATGGGATCTTGGCTCATCTGAGACTGGGCATGCTTGAGTGTGGACGGCATGGTCAGCACCTCACCCTCCAAGAATCACTTCTTTTGCCCATGGCTCAACACAGTGCCGACAATAGCAACATTTGGAAGCCACTTCAGTACCCACCCACAGCAGGCTGGTGGCATTCCCTGCGCAATATACTCACAAAAGAACATTGTACCGCTGTGAAGAGAGGACAAGAGAGCTCTATAAAAATGGACACAGCATGATTTTCAGAATATATTTTAAGTGAATAATGCAAATTGCAGAATATTATATGTGTATATAGTATTCTATTTTTATGTAGAAAAAGAACCGTGTGTGTGTGTGTGTGTGTGTGTACGTGCATTTGCCAATTTTTGCCAAAAAAAACCCAATAGAAAGCATAAACCAAAACCAATCTAAGCAGTGACCTCTAAAAGGTGGGTGGTAACAGGGTGGAAGGGACAGGAAGGGAGTGTTGTCTGAGAGGTAAGAAAACAAAGGACACAAAGGTTCTGCCATTGAGCCTCTCTGGGTTAAGCAGCAGGTGTTCATGTGCCCCTACGATGGTACTAGCACCTCTAACCAGCACCCCAGCCTACAGAGGACCTGGGCACGGGATGGAGGATGGTTTGTGTTGATGGAAGCAGAAGAAAATGTGGAAGGGGCATCAAGGGCTGCTGGGCTGGGCATTCTGAGATCCAGAATCTCCAGGGAGGAGGCACTGGGTCCTGGATGTGGCACAGAGATAGGGGTGGGAGGAAGGAGTGGCCAACCCTCGCCCTGCCTGTCACATGGACCCACCTCCTTGGCTCGGAGCTGCTCATTCCCGATGGTGGCACTCAGCAGGGGCCTGAGGGAACCAAGAAGCTGCCACCATGGCCAGTCCTTGACTGCCAGGAATACAGCCACGTTCTTCTGGATGCACTGAGCAGCCAGTCGGTGGATCTGCAGGGGAAGAGAATGGGGCCTAGAGGGTTCTTCCCAAGGGAAGAGGGTGAAGGAGGAAGAGGAGGTAGAAGGCAGAGGGGGCTGGAGAAAGTAGCTACCCAGTGGAAGGGACTGGATAACTTTCTAAACAATACATGCTTTTTTTAAACGGTCATTTGAATATGTCAAGCACTCTGCAACAGATATTATGCCATAATTTAGTCTTACCTGACCAAATCATAACAATAATAATAAGAACAGGAGGAAGAGCAGAAGACACCATACAACCGGGCCACATCTTCCACAGGGATTCGTTTTAGAAGTCATCTTGCAAGGCAAGAACTATCCTTGAAAATCCTTAAAACCACCCACAAGAAATAATGTCCAAGATGAAGTTGTTAGCTTACACTGAGGAGACAGATTTTTTAACATCTATGTAGACACTAATTCCATGCGCCACACTCAAGTGTGCACCAGGATCCCCTGGAGTCCTTGTTGAAACAGATTGCTGGGCTCCACTCCCAGCAGTTTTGATTCAGCCATCTGGGACGGGACCTTGGAGTGTGCATTTCTAACAAGTCCCCAGGTGATGCCGATGCCGCTGTCCTGGGGACACTTTGAGATGCGCTGGCCTACTTTGTTCTTATTATAGGTGGGAAATGGAACCATATTGATTGACAGGCAAAGAGGAGGTGCATTGCTCTCATCCCCATCACAGGAGCCATGCTTATACAGTTGGTACAGTGCTTCCTAAGTGCCACGCACTGCCCTGAGCATCTTATACTCTTCACCTCAGTCCTCACTACAGTCCTGGGAAGGTAGTTATTATTATTGTCTCCATTTTACAGATGGGGAAACTGAGGTGCAGAGAGGTCAAGTCATGTGTCTGATGTCACTCAGCTTCTAGGCAGCAGAGCAAGTGTGACGCCGCCCCCCACCATGTCCCCCACCCCACCGCTACAGTGAGGCTGCACAGCCCAGGCTCTGAACCTCTATTCCACACGGCCCCAAGGCCTGACTGTCTGAGTGCAGAAGGCCAGTGGGGTTGCCCACAATATTTTAATGATTCATGTTCTCACCTTTTTCTGGTTTTGCCAAGTGCAAATTCTTGAGTTTGCAAATTCACACAAACTGGAGGTACATGTAACAGGATTCAATTCTAGTAGCAGCAGCAGTAATTAAGAACAACAGCCTAAGACAACAGTCGCTCGTGATCCCAAAGACCTCAGTGGCTGGGACCTGTCTATGTCCTGTGTGCTGACCCGTGAAGGTGAATTCCTCCAGAGATAGGGCTGCTTGAAATCATGAATTGGCCCAGGAGGGCTTGAACAACCTCACAGCTACCTAGTACAAGGCTAGCACCCTTGGTAATTTGATGCAAATATCCTAGAAGCAGCCATCACATCTCGCAAAGCGAAAGCATCACTTCAAGTCTCACTACTCAGGTCGGGTCCTTGGACCGGCAGCATTGGCATTATACCAGGAGACATGCAGACCCTGTGCCCACTCTGGACTGCTGGGCCAGAATCTACATGTTAACAGTGTGCAGTACCTTCAGCTTCTTGAATTCCTGGCGAGACAAGAAGCCTTTGCAAGCCGCCTGGAAGAGAACGATGCTCTGAGACACCAACTTCTCCCGCTGCTTCTCAAGCCTGGAGACCACACCCGCCTTGAGGAACACCTGGCAGGAGGAAAGGCTGCAGGTGACTCCTCTGCTGAATCAGACAGTCTGGAATGGGAGATGCCTGCAACTAGACCACGGTTCGCTTGCATTTACCCACAACATTCACTGGCAGCTGCCCTGTGATGAGGTCTAGACCAGGGATCTTCAACCCCCGGACCACAGACCGGTGTTACAATGTAATAATAACAGAAATAAAGTGCATAATAAATGTGATGCCTTGAATCATCCCAAAACCATCTTCTCCCCCACCGCTCCACCCCGGTCTGTGGAAAAATTGTCTTCCACGAAACTGGTCCCTGATGCCAAAATGTTGGGGACTGCTCTCCGGATGGCTCCTCTTCCCCTTCCTCCAGCCCCTGGAGGAAGTATGATCATGCACCAACAGCATCAACCCTTCCTGGGAGCTTGTTAGGAATGCAGATTATCAAAACCCACTCCAGACCCGCTAAATCAGAACCTGCTGGGATTACAAGCATGAGCCACCTTGCCAAGCCAAGAATGTGCATTTTTTGACAAGTGCTACCAGTGATCTGAGAGAAGCAATGGGCTAGAAAAAAAGTTCAGTCTCCTAAAGAGGGGCAGAGACAATGGGGGAGGTGAGAGCAGCCCTCCTTGGTCGGAAAGGATGGGGCTGGGCTGGTGCCACCCATGGAGGTGCTCAGGCATCTGGCAGAAAACTGCCCTCAGAACATGATTCCAGGCCATGACTCATCAATAATGGATGATGCCTTCTGCAGCTCTGATCAATGCCTTCTCGGCATCCCACAGAGCCACCTTCTCATGGGCTGGAGAGAACGGGAATGAGGGCGCCCCGGGATGCCAGATCTGACTGTCAGCAAAAGATTTAAGGCAGAGAGTCCTGGAGGTTTGGGTTAAAGGATTTTCTGAGAGAACCTGAAGTTTTGGGACCCGGCCTGCTACAGCCAGCATGAGGAAGTAGCTACAATTTGATGCAGCCCTTTTCTCACCTCCCCAGAGGCCAAGAAAAAACACTTTCATGGTGGGATTAAGTCAGTGATGGGGCAAGAGTCACTTTACAGATGCCCTTACGCCACTTATTTCTAAAAACAATCCTGTGTGTTTATTTGTCATGTGAGGCATATAACCCTAAAGGTGCCAGTTTTTCTGGAGATACTAGATATCAATCAATGGCTAACATTTACTGCCTGTGGAACTGGGCTAAACAGCCACTTGACATACAGTTAAAGTTATTTGTGTGTATAACCCTACATGGTAGTTATGATGATTCTCTATTTATGGAAAGAGAAACAAAGGCTAAAAGGGGAATTTTCCCATGATCCTCCACTAGCAAGTGGCAACACCAGGGTTTATTTCTCTCCTACTGACCTCAGACAAGACTACCATTATCACTGAATGTACTTACTATTTGTGTGACTGCTACATTTTTCAAAGCTTTTTCTCTTGTGTTTCATTCTAATACTCAAAACAGCCCTACGAGGAATCTACTGGCTCAGGTAGGGTATATAATTGACTCAGGTTCACATACCTGCTTGCCAACAAAATGAAGACTTGAACCCAGAATCTCAGGTGTATCTCTTGCACTTATTTTCCATGTTGACACAAGGCTTCCTTTTCTCATTTGTTTTGATACAAACACCTAAAGTTTGAGGCTCAACTGTGATTTGATTCGAGATGGAAAAAACGGTCTCAGTCGATTCTCCATGATCCTAAACCTATTTTTGGTAATGGAGACCACTCTGCCCATCCCGCACTAAGCCTCTTCTTGATGGGAAAATAAAAATTAACACACCCCATCGGTGCTGACTCTGTCTTGCAACCCTCCACTGCTTTGCAGAACGCTTCCTATCAGCCAGGGCCACCAAGACAATTGGTCTCATTGAAATAAAGACACGATTGATTCATTACCTATCAGAGTGCCTCAATAATGACTGTATTAATTTCACAAGCTAGTGAGTCCCAAAAGCTGCTATAAAAAAAAAATCAATGATCAAAGTGATGACAGCACCAGTTTGTATATTACAATAGGCGGCGGGTACTGCCAAAACCACTATTGATTAAGTATGAAGCTTTCGTTAAAAAGATAATTGGAAACGACCATACACAGAATGGGAATAAGTCATTGCCTCTGCAAAATCTTATCTTGATTTTCTTTTTGCCTTTTAATCGTATATTGCCAACCAGAAGGACCATTGCATGTGGGATCACACCTTTTTAATAAATGCCATGGCCCTCGGCACAAACCTTGATAAGGAACCAGGGGTTGAAAAATCACAAAGAAAAATCTAAATTATTCATTTTCATGGATCCAGCTGCTTATCAGATGCAAACAGAGTGTAACATCCCCAAATCTCCATCTTTAAGGAATCCGTAGGGGCCACGACCATGCAAACTGTTTTTACTCCAAAAACACTGAAGGCCAAAGTTTTTTTTAAATCTGATATGGCAATAGCTCCCATATCTGGTTCTGCTGAGGAATTAGCTCCTCTCCTCTTAGTAATTTTACAGGTTAGAGGAGTTTCATTCTTTGAACATTAAAATGTTATTCAATTTGATAAGCCTCTTGCCCCACTGACGAATGCATTCAGCAAGTAGTGACAGCCACCCCTGTTAAGTGGCAGTTTACTGATTCCTCCCAGCCATCATGGGAGCTATAAAGTAGTGGCTTCATTTTACAGATGAAATAATTGAGACTGGGAAAAGACAAATCACTCTCTCAAGAGTCAGCCGGTTCTCCTTTCCACTGGGCTTCACAGCCATCCTGACTATCAAGTCTCAAGTCCCAAGTCGTGCAATACGCAAGAAGGGTCTCAACCTCCATCTTTACCTAGTTTCCAAAAGGATCCATTGACCTTGATTTGCTCTCAGTGACCTTGACAGTTTCTTAGTGAATATCAAGTATTATTCAATAATAATAATAATAATAATAATGTTGTATTATTGGAATGTTTAGGTTTCTAGGCTTCTTGCTCCTGCCACTGTAAAACTATGTGCAACAACTTTTTCTATTTTTTCCCTGACTCTACAATAGCTGCTGGCATTCCAGGGACAAATTGTTGTATTTATGAAGTACCTGAGTAATTATCTAGACAGTGGTTCTCAGATTGGAGCATGCACTAGAATTACCTAGAGGGCTTGTTACAACACAGACTGCTGCCCCCTCCCCAGTTTCTGATGCACGAGGTCTGGCATGGACCTGAGAATTTGTGTTTCTAGCAAACTCTTGGGTGATGCCAATATGGCTGGTCCAGGAACCACACTTTGAGAACTGTTGGTCTAGAAGGATGCAGTCCCTAGAGCTGAAGAACAATCCTCCTGATTCAGGACCATAACGACCTGTGTGTAAAGGATGTGTTATACATATGCATATAAATATGCCAATACATACAGTCATGCATCGCATAATGACATTGCAGTCAACGACATTCTGCATACACAGCAGTGGTCCCATATGATTCCAAGACCATATTTTTACTGTGCATTTTCTGTGTTCAGATGCACAACTCTCCGTGGCCTGGGAGTGATACACCATGTCAGATAACCTGGGTGTGTTAGGGGCTATGCCATCTAGGTTTGTGTGAGTACACTTAGGATGTTCACACAATGACAACATCGCCCAACAATGCATTCCTTGGCACATATTCCTGTTGTTCAACATTGTATGACTGTATATCCATTAGTAAACAGTAGAGTCCACAGGGTATCAAAAAGACCCTGGGATTTGGGCCTCTACAAAACTGCATGAAACCTGCACCCTTCGCTATGTGTAGGACCTTGAAAAGGGACTTATTCCCCAGAGGCACAGCATCCTCATCTGTAGAGCAGGAATATACTTGTTATCTCACAGAAGACAGTGAGGAACAAAGAAGAACAAAATGTGAAGTTGCCTAGTATAGTCCTTGGCTCATGGAGGGAGCCCAGTAACCAACAGCTTTATTCTCTCTATTGAAAAAGTTTGCAAAGACCTGGATGCTGCAACTCCCAGCAGGAGAAATCAGGTTGAGACTGCAGTAGACTAAGAGCTTCCAGGAGGCCAGCAAGGAGAACCTAATATGTTTAGGATGGGCTGAGGGGTGGGGCCGGTGTAAGTGACAGTGAGCTCCCTGAGGAGAGAGCTGCTTCCGGGGATGTGGGGTGGGGCAGGCTCTGTGAAATACACATTGCTAATAATGTCACCACAGTGGGCTTCTGGAGACCATGATCTTTCACAGCCCCATACATAGCACCTGGAGGAAAAAGGCAATCAGCAAGGCTTCATTGTGTGGCACTAAGCAGTCAGCAGATAACTAGGTGGGGAGGGGGTGGGGCAATTTTTCCTTTGGTCTATTCCCCCTCCAGTGTGTATTTCTAAACTGTGTCTTTTTACCTTGCCCACCACTCGATCCTTCAGGTTGTATGTATGTATGTATGTATGTATGTATTTGAGATGAAGTCCTGCCCACGCTGGTCTCAAACTCCTTGGCTCAAGCAATCCTTCCACCTCAGCCTCCCAAAGTGCTGGGATCACAGGTATGAGCCACCGTGCCCAACCTGATCCTTCCGTTTAAAATCTCTGTGCCTTACTTCCCAAACTATAATCCACAGAATACTTGCTCCAGGAATTGGGAATGAGTGTTCCAGAAAAACAAAAGATTGGGGAGTTCCTTGGTCAAATAGTTTGAGAATCCCTAAATACCATGTTTCTCTTCTTGAAAACGTCAAGCATATATGGGAAGTGTGAAATTTTTCTCTCAACTAAATGCTGATGTCATATGTCAAAGAGCACATGTCAAAGAGCTTTAGGCTCAAAAGTAGTTTGGAAAGTGCTATTTGTTTCCACTTGAATAACCACATGCTTTCTTCTCAAGGTCCTTCTTTCTTTTCCCTTACTGCTGCTACTCAGCAAGGACTACACTGTGTTAGAGTTGATTGCAAAGTACAAGTTCAAAGGCTCTGAGTGAAGATGAGATTCTTTCCCAGGTTTGTGGCAGCACTCTCAGAGGCTCAGAAGGGCATATTGAGGACAAGAAATTCAGTTCTTCCAGACCATTGAGGCTCCTGGAGTGTAAACTCTAGCAAATGATATTTCCCAATGTCTTCTCCACCTGTACTATGACATTTTATCTTCATGACTTGTAAGAAAAGCAGGACAGAAAAGTATTTGTTTTGCTTTTACTTTGGAAGGAGAAGACACACAGAGATAATGGACCCTTGAGGTAGCATGAGAATCAGGTCACATCTGGGTCCCCCTGTGTGGCATGAAGAAGGCTGCAAGAAAGACACTCTACTCACTTGGCTGTGCCCCACGGCCACTGCCTTCTTCTCCAGATCCAGGGTCATCAAGAGTTCCTCCACAGCCTGGGAAGGACAGGAGAGAGAGGTTAGAGAAGATAGAAGGTAGGGGAATTCTAAAGGGGAGGGTCAGGTGGCTGGATGGGTGTGCCAGGACAGAGTGTCACCCTCACATGTCTATAAGCTTTGGCTGATAGAGCCCCACCTCACACAGGCAGGTGCTGAACACTTACTGTGTGCCTACTGTGAGCTCACCTACTGTGGCATGTACTGAGCACCTACTGTGTGCCTACTGTGAGCTCTCCTACTGTGGGCATCTACTGAACACCTACTATGTGGCTAGTGTGAGCTCACCTACTATGAACATGTAGTGAGCACCTACTATGTGCCATCCACTGTACTAACAACTTCACAGTATCTAATTTGCTTCATCCTCATAGGAAGCATAGGTGGGTCATCGTGCTACCATACCCTTTTTACACATTAGAAAACCAAAGACACAAAATAAAATGAAGAAGAATGGAGCTGTTGTGAAAAGTAGTATCGTAGTTCCTCAAAAAATTAAAGACAAAATTACCATCTGATCCTGCAATTCCACTTCTTTATATATGCCCACAAGAACTGAAAGCAGAGTCTTGAAGAAATATTTATACATTTATGTTTATAGCAGCAACATGTCTTTTTTTTCCCCTTTTTTATTTTTTATTTAAAGTTGTAGGGTACAATTCAGGGCTAGGTATACAAATATTCACCATGCAGGTAACCTTATCGATGAGGTGTGCCCCCTCCTTCCCCAGGCAGATATCGACTACGGTCAATCCCACCTCCCCACCCTCACACCCCCTCCCTACAGTTTCCCACCACTAAGAGGACTTGATTAAAGAAATGTGGTACATATACACAATGGAATACCACACAGCCACAAAGGAGAACAAAATCATGAACTTCACAGCAACGTGGATGGAATTAGAGTTTATAATATTGCGTGATCTCTCACAAAGAGCTGAGTATCACATGTTCTCACTCATAAGTGGACCTTAAACAACTATCGTATTACTATAAGCAACATTTCAAAATAGCCAAAAGGAAGGAACAATCCAAGCATCCATTAATGGATAAATGGATAAATAATGTGTCGTATATCCCATACAACTGAATAATATTCAGCCTTAAAAAGGAAGAAAAGTCTAACATATGCTATAATGTGGATAAGACTTAAGGGCATTTTGCTAAGCTAAATAAGCCAGTCATACTGCAGGATTCCACTTACATGAGGTCCCTAGAGTAGCTAACTTCATAGAGATGGGGTAGAATGGTGGTAAACAGGGACTGGGTATAGCAGGAAGTGGAGACTCATTGTTTAATGGAGATGAAGTTTTGGTTTTGCAAGAAGAAGAGTTTTGAAGATGGGTGGTGGTGATAGTTGTCCCATGTTGTGAATGTATTTAATGCCACAGAACTGTGTGCTTAAAATTTAAGACGGTAAATGTTATGTTGTGTATATTTTCATAGACAACCTCACAGAAAAAAAAAAAACAAACACAAAAAGTCCCTAAATGAAAATATTGTTTCAAGATCATAGGGCTACACACAGAGGAGAGACAGGTTCCGATAAAGGTTCATCTGGCCACATTGCAACATCTGTGTCTTGAGCTAGGGTGTCAGAGGACCCAAGGGCACAAAAAAATGCACATGATATGTCATTAAGTGCCCCTGTGACAGCCTCCCTAGCACTCGGAGCTTCTCTCATTGTACTTGCCGGTGGCAGACTCACTCTCACAAATATTTGCTAAGTACACGGCATGACCTGTCTGACCTAGATTATGGCAAGGAGAGCCTGTGTTTAATTCATCTCTTATTTCCTCCACTGCACTACTGTACTGTTCTATGCATACAGTAGGAACTCCATAAATACGATGACCGAATAAATGAACACCCAAACAAAAGAGATCCAATAGGGGAGGAAAAGCAGTCTCAGGCAAGAGAAACAATTTCACTCAAAGGGACTACTGGCCACAGCATGGAACAAATCACCAGTTTAATGGAATCTTCCTCTTGTCAAACAGTCATGCAGGCTTTGAAGCAACCGTCGGATAAATACAGGTCGTGCCTGGTTCCTTTGTGACTGCCAATTCCCTTCCCACTCCACCCTCAAAGCACCCCTCATTGGTCTTCTATTCTCTGAAAATAAGAAAGTCTATTTTCAGAACAAACTGTCAGAAAAGTAATTGCAATGCTCAAGAAGCAAAAGATATTATGAGACTGGAATAATCTAGTAGATGAGTTTCAATTCCATGGGTCAATGGCATCACAGAAAACTTTCTAAGATGTATAAAAAAATTCTTATTAAAAGTCTAGTCTCAGACCACAATCAAGAAGGAAACTTCATCTTCTGACCTCCTGGAAGAACATTTCATGACACCCTTCCAAAATTTCAGTGGTTTCACTTGTTACATTTTAGCCAAAAAATGTTCCGAGGGAGCTGTAGGTGGCAGAAATGCATAAAACCAATATGTCCTAAATATAACTTCTTTTTTCTCGGCACAAGAGGAAAACAATAAAAAGGGATGAAGAAAAGATAGACAAATTTTTAAAAATGAAATCATAAGGCCAATGACATTCTTCTGAGTCAACCTTGGAGGAAAAGCCTAGGGTAGATTTGGAGTGGGGGAAGAAAGATCAGAATCTGGAGTTAGATCCACCTGAGTTCAGATCTTGGTTTCATCACTCATAAACTGTGTGACCTCAGGCAAGCACTTGAATTCGAGTCTCAGATTCCTTTCAGAGAGATGAGGAAATAACAGCACCTGTTTCAGAAGATTCTGAGGATGTGGAGTGCTTTCCATGGTATCCCGTATAGGGTAGGGGCTTGTCTACCCTCACAGTCCCCTCTGCTGTGGTCCAAACCTGGGAGTGAAAGACATGGACAAAGGCTGCCATGTCTCGGGTCTGCCCTAATCTAGCCAAACCACCACAGTCCCAGGATTCTTCTCCACCTCCTTGTATTCTTAGAACCTGTAGATGTCTATGCAGCTAAGAACATGTGCTCTAACACAGGAGTTCTGTTCTGTGGACCGCCCATTTTACAGAGAAGAAAGCCTAGCTTCAGATGATGCTGTGAATGGTTAAGTGCAGGCTTTAAACTATACTTCCAACCCTCTTCCTCACCTGCAAAATGGTGAGAATAGTCCCTGCCTGGGCCCCATGGCAGTTGGGAGGGTTCATTGAGAATATAAGGAAAGGACTTTGTAAATGACTTTGCACCTGTTATCACTGTTATCCTCACTAATATTACTATTAGATTGAATCACATGAAACTGCCATTTGTTTAGGTCAAATAGCAATGGTTTCCTTTAGTTCAACATAATGTAATCATTGTCCAACAGTCAGTCGGTGGAAAAAGACATGGCAAGAATCCAGGTGACTGTAAGGAATTCTGCCTTGTCCTGAGTCTTCATGGAATCAGCTTCTCCATGTCTCAAAATTGTGCAGGTCATTGAGGCTTATCCTCAGCACGGAATGTCACTTTTTGGGCAGTAAAATGTCAGCCATCTTACTCCATGAAAACACAGTTTTCCATCTGCCTTTGAGTTTGAGCACTGCTCTGTTTGGGGCATAATAATTCATCTTGCTTTCAATCCTTTGATGCAAGTACTATTTCATGCCCATTTTACAGAGGAAGAAAGTGAGGCCCAGCACCATGACATGACTGGGCAAAGTTCTTGTGTCTAGGAGGTCATGGCAGAAGATCCAAGTCCCAGGAATCGGCTCCTGAGCTTGTTTCCACCCGCCAACACTAGGATGCAGTTCAGGGCGACCACTCACTAGTTCTGTGACCCATGCAAGCCACTCCCCACTCAGGTCCTCAGTTTCCCTTTCTAGAAGAGGGGTAATGACACCTGCCCTACAAAGATGTAGTAGAGATTTAATGAGGCCATAAAAGTAGCATGTAAGAAAAAGACTTCCACAATGGTAGAGCAAAGCGCTTCAAGAATCCTTTTCCCTCTCCCCAAAAATGATAAAAATGGATATGACTTCTAAAAACAGGTGTAATTCTCTGGAAATTGAACAAAGGGATGCAACAAGCTGAGAGGAATTCATTCAAGAAAAACCACTGAACCTCAGGTCAGAGCAACGGGAGTTTGTGGTGATCTTGATTAGGGCTCTCCCACTCACCCCCTCAGCTCTGTCAACTGCAATAGTCCCACCAGGGTGAGGCAAGCTGTGGAAACCAGCAACTTTGCTGCCCGAAGGGGCTCACCTATATGGAGCCAAGGATGAAAAAACCCCACCCTCAGGAGGAGCATTGCCAGAAACAGTAGTGATCTTGGCAGCCACAAACAGGGAAGGCCAATGGCACAGCTAGGCCTGAGGTTGCTGTCCTGATTGCAGCAAACAGTGGACCATGGACAAGCCAGAAATTTAACGAGGCCATGTAGGAAACAGGACAACCACCATTGGCTTGGCAAGTTCCCATGTATTCCTAGCTCAAGGCTAAACATAAGAACAAGAGAGACTGGAGAAGGCCCTGGTTACCTATATAGCCCTATATGAACACAAAGCAGAAAACACGTGAAAAGGCCCAACAGAATGTGCAAGCTCCCACACAACTGTAACCTGCCTGAATGCTTAATACATTCTCCAATCCACAGGCAGACCCAGCTGAAGAACACAAAAGCTCCACAGATTCCAGTTGTTTGATAACCACTTCTCCTGACCACTAAGCTATGCTGACACAGAAACAACCCCTGGGGAGCCAACTTTACAATAAAAACACTCATTTTTAAAAACTGGACAGACAGAGGGTGTGCATATGTATGAGTGCCTGTCAAGGACATTTTCTGACCAGGAAAACATGAAAACTAGGAAGTTGAATTTATTGCCACTGACTGTAGACTAAAGACTTTGTGAACTAGAGGCTGTAGTAAATCATTGACATAAATTTTAAAAAAAATTGGGCAGAGATATCAGTGGCCCCACACCATCAGGAGACAGATTCCATAATTCTAGTGAAGACAAATCACTAAATGGTTAAGAAAAGATCAAAATCTGGAGTGTCTATACAG